TCTAATAATCTTAAAAAAAACCTTGAATTCACATTATCATTAATACTGGTGAAAATATATTCAAATCAAAAAATGTAATCCTTCAAGTAAACAAATAAGAAACAATATTAAAGGTACATTGTATTACTGCAGCCCCTTAAATAGAACATGGAACATAACAGCGCAGTACAGGCCCTTCGGCCCTCGATGTTGCGCCGACCTGTGAAACCAATCTGAAGCCCATCTAACCTAAACTATTCCATTATCATCCATATGCGTCAATTGTTCTTGACTCAACTGACCATCTGCTGAGCTGAAGCTATTAGTAGTTTTGAAACTTAGTTTAGCATTCATAATGGCTGCAGCTGTCATTCAAAAGCTACTAGCTATATTTCCAGAAACTAATATAGCTCAATAGTGTGCTATTCCGATTTCAAAGTAGAATTGCTGTCAATGGAGATAAATAAGTGCACGGGTTTTTCAACTTTCCAAAGCAAGTCTTCTTTAAACAGCCAAAGATATCAGTCAAGCTGTGACTGGCAGATTTTCTTTTCAAAACGTTTATGTTTTATAGTACTTTCTTCAGTGGAAAGAAGTTTTATAATGCTTAACATTTACACAACTGTGGTTAACAGAAGGGTCAATTTACTTTTGAGATGAGGAGGAATTTCTCTCAAAAGGTTGTTAATACTTGCAATTCTCTGTCCTGGTGAGAAGTGTAGACTGAAATATTGAATATATTCAAGCCTGAGTTAGATAGATTTTTGATTGAAGTGAGAAACAAGAGTCACGAGGGACAAGCAGAACATTGGGAGTTAAGGCCACATCAGATCAGCGATGATCTGATTGCCTAGTGAAGCAGACTGAAGGGTTGAATGACCTACTTATGATTTCACTTTTAATGGTTTTATGTTTTATTTGTATGACAGAACCCATGATGAATTACTGAATTAAAAACATTTCAACATCTAATACAAAGTGTCAAAATGTTTTACACTTATCAATCAAAATATCTGGTTACTTCCAGTGGTCAAGTAGATACTTTTTTTTTAAAGTCTTACAAAACCCACACCACTCACAACAGTCTACTGATCCAGAAACACAGATTTAGATGGGTTAGATATGGGAAGAGTTTTGTCATGAGGTTGAGTTTATGGAGAGTGGAAGCTAGGAGGATAGTTGGTAAAGCACCGGAATAAACTAGAAGTAACAAAGACACAACTAAAGGCTTCGGCAGATGTGGAACTGAGGCTGAGTGATGTCAATAAAAGGGAAGAAGTAGTTGACTTGATGATGGAGCTGATATATGAATAGAAGCTCACATCAGGGTCAAATCCATTGTAAAAGTCAGACAGACGTTCTGTTCAAGTGAAAAGGAACAACATGGTTGAAAGTAGAAAGTGTTGGAGGAACTCAGGAGGTCTGGCAGCCACTGTGCGGTGAGAAGCAGAGTTAACATTTTAACAGCAATCCATTCGATTCTGGGAAACCTGCTGCGTTTCTCCAGCACTTACTGGTTTTTGTAGTACCATTCTCATTCTTAATATAATTGAAAGTATTTTTGAATATTCCATTTATAGCGTAGCTCTAAAGAGCCAGTCAACTAAAGCTGAGAGTGATGTGCACCGCAGCGCACCTTTCACAACAGTCCAACAGCCTGAAATTTCACACTGATGAGTAATAAACTACTTGAATAACAGAGCATGTCTGAGAGGTCAACTGGCTTACACCTGATTCCTTTCTTTCCAAGTCCACGCAAAATGCACAATCTTACCTCTCCTGGATGCAATGTCACAACATGCGGTCTGGCTCCATGAAATCGAGGGAACCGTGCAAAATCAGGGTTGACCACGTTCACACTGCTAAATACACTAGACTCTTCATAAGGAATACGAGTGGGATACAGGGAGGCGGTGTCTTCTGGGGGGAAAAGATGCCATCTCTTTCTGCAAATATATTGATGAGAAGTTTCCTTAATTATTTCAATAAGAAAACAGTTGTGTGTAATAACTAAAAGATTTTCCTTTCAGGCTTACCACCCTATCTCTCAAAGTCATATACATTCTACAGCTGGTGACAAGCTCTACCAAGGCCAGTTCCTCACAGACAACAGGACAGCCACTAAATTGTGCTCTCATCCACAGTACAGGCACCTGATATCTGTCGGGCACCCACCTGCAACAGCATACTGGCAATTCAAGAAGAGGGGCAAAACTTTTGGCCCATTGTTTCCAATAATAATGTTTCAGCTGCTAAAGCATTTTACCCCAAACCTCTATTTAAACTTCTTTGTGCATTTCTTTAAGGAGGAAAACAAGCTTAGATAAATTTTCAATCATATATTCTGGCTAGTGAGCTGGTTGTAAATCTTTACAGTTGTCTAGCCAGAAGGCTGTAAATGCTCCATCATTCAGTATGTTCAAGACTGATATATTTTTTGATCGCCGAGGACATAGAGGGAGATGGGGAGCAGGCAAGAAAGTGGAGCTGAGGCAAATGATCAGTTGTGATGGTACTGTATAGTAGATCAGATTTGATGGGCCATATGCTCTACTCCTGATCTTACTCATGTTCTCACACTGATTTGAAACTTGAGCATCTACTGTCAGCAAAGAATACAAATGCTTAACATATTCTTGTGAAAGTCCATTATCAGTCACCTGAATGGGAACATTAACCACTTCAAAGAAATATAATGAGAAATGAGATGGAAATCCATTGAGCAACCGTGCAGCAATATTTTGCAGCGTATTTAATGAAAAGCTTTCTACGTCTTACATTTTACCCATTCAAAGTTATCAGTAGAATTTTATTTACTATCTTGTTGTAAAAAGACTTCACATAGAGTCATAGAGATGTACAGCGTGGATACAGACCCTTCGGTCCAACTCGTCCATGCCAGCCAGATATCCTAGATTGATCTGGTCTCATTTGCCAGCATTTGGCCCATACCCCCTAAACCTGACCTACTCATATGTCCATCCAGATGCCTTTTAAATGTTGTAATTGTACCAGTTTCTGCCACATAGAACACTGTGACTCAGTGGTTAGCACTGCTGCTCACAGCACTGGAGACCCGGGTTCGATTCCAACCTTGGGGGACGATCTGTGTGGAGTTTGCATGTTCTCCCTGTGTTTGCATGGGTTTCCTGTGATCTCCTCCCACAGTCTAAATACATGAAGGTTAGGATGGATTGGCCACGCTAAATTGCTCTTAGCGTCCAGGGATGTACAGGTAGGTGGATTAGCCATAGGAAGTGTAGGGTTACAGGGGTAGAGAAGGGGGGGCTGAGTCTGTGTGCGATGTTGTTCAGAGGAATGGTGTGAACTGAATGGGCTGAATGGCCTGCTTACACACTGTGGGGATTCTATGACTCTATGAAGACTTATTGCTCAGGTATTGCTTAGAATAAATCACTGCTTACTGTTCTGAAGCCAAAGCCTTAACAGACCCAATGATATTCTGGTCACCTTGCACACCTTACTATCATTGAATATGATTTACAATTTAAGAGACAAATTACAATAATCTTGTGCTGTGGTTCCATGCTCACCATTTTATGACTTAAGGATGCCCGGCAAGATGGCGGCAGAGTAACACGCTCCAGCCGGAGCTCCTCTGCGCTGTCTGTTCTTTTTCGTTTCTACCTTTTGTTCCCCTTTCTGCTTTAAGGAATGGAGAGTTGGTGAGCTCCAGAGGCGAGAGCAGCGGCCGGCACGGGGCAGGCAGTCCCCGGCAGCGGCTGGCACGGGGCAGGCCGTCCCCGGCAGTGGCCGGCACATGGACCAAGTCCTGGGTGGAGGCCAGCGCAGGGGAATCAGTCCTGGAACTTACCTTGGAGCAGCTGAGAGCCGGTACGGTGCTGACTGGAGTAGGAATGGTTCTTGGACTGCGGTCTAACACGGGCGGTCAGACCACATGGGAAAGCCCCTGCGCTGAGCTGCTACAGTGTAATGTTTATCTGAATTGTTGTATCTGACTGTAATGTCAATCCTTTAACTATGTCTTATTTTTACCTTATTCTTTAAACACTGCAATGTAAAAGTAATGCAATTACTCTTCTTTTTAATTACTCTTTTGTGTCTAAGATTTGTACCTAAGATGGCACCATGAGGAGACATTGTAAAACGTTTCACTGTACTTTTTTTTTCCTTCTTTATTCATTAATGGGATGAGGGCATCGCTGGCTAGGCAGCATTTATTGCCCATCCCTAACTGCCCTAAGAGTCAACCACATTGCTGTGGGCATGGAGTCACATGTAGGCCAGACCAGGTAAGGATGGCAGTTTCCTTCCCTAAAGGGTATTAGTGAATCAGATGGGCTTTTCCTGACGATCGACAATGGATTCATGGTCATCATTAGACCCTTAATTCCATAAACATATTGAATTCAAATTCCACTGTCTGCCATGAGAGAATTCAAATCCGGGTCCCAGAACATTATCTGGGTCTCTTGGTTAACAGTCCAGTGACAATGCCACTAGGCCATCATTCCCCCACTCCTGTACTTGAGTACACGTGACAATAAAGGATATTCTTATTCTAAGCAGATTTCACTTAATACAAATTAGATAAATGAAATATTCAGCCAATTAGTCTCAGCTGTATTTAAATCCAGGTCTCAGCAGCGAATAGACAACTTTCTAAACCAGTGCACTGTCCTGTCACAGGCTGAAGGGATATTTGCTAAAAGCTGATGATTTTCAATAAATTGCCTTTGCAGTAAAGGAATTAATATTCCAAGACCTAGGAGTTCAGTAAACCAATCTTTTCTTTAAATGAAGGCATACTGTGATTGAGGTAACACTAGACGTATGACCCATCTTTCAGCTGGGCAATGGCATAGGACCAAAGCAATTGGGAATAAACATCTTGGTGAGCAAAGAGGATGATTGAAAGAGATTGCTTCACAAGTTGTTGGAGAGGTTCAAGTTGCATTTTTAAAATATACTTTGCTCCAGTTATTTCAACCTCTTAAAATGAATGCAACATGAAGCAAACAGGAAGTGGAAACACACTAAATGATAAATATCTGCAGCTCAAAATGTGTTCAGACTTTCTCTTCTTGCCCCAGTTACAGCAGTTCAGTAAACATGTGTGCTGTGGGAGGGATACTGAAACTCAGTCATAAACCTCGGCCTGAACACATCCAATGGATTACTGCCAAAACCTCAAAATCATCTGAGACTTGGCACAAGGGATAGGTCTAGTAGATAGTTGGAGATGTTCCTGCAATGTGCAGCAAAGGCTTCATTTCATTCACCACCACAAAATTTCAAACCTTTTAAAAATTATCTCTATCTGACTTCAAAGTCACCTTTCAAAGCTATACCAGGCAAGCTCATCTAAGCAAACAACAGAACACTTTTTTTTAAGATCACAGTCCAACTTCTGCAACATTTGTCCCTGTTTTTGTTTTTTGAGTAGAACTCAACTACCGACCCTTTTTAACAGAGCAAACATCAGACATGTTGCATAATAACAACACTCCAGATGCATCTTCAACATGCCTATGGACATGGCCAAAGCTTCCTCAGAGGTGCAGTCATTTACTCACTCAAAACATTTAAAGTTGAAACAGATTCAGAATCTTGAAAAGGAGATTTTGAAGCCCTGGAGAAATGACATAAACCATGCAAAAAGTACACAACTTAGTTAAATCTGCAGTGGAACCCAGGCATCTCATCTAATAAAGCAGAATGTTCCCTTACTTGTGTTAGGATAAACTTGCATCAAATTCTGTCATAAAGCTCCAAATTCTTTTCTAGTAGCATCCACTTTCTTGAACTTCTAACACTGTTAATTAATCGCAATTACTATGTTCAGAAGGTTTGTATTCCCTTGAGTATGGAAAAACTAATGGAATGTCGAAATTGAGGTGTTTAAGATGATTCACTCACAAACCAGCTTCTACAACCACAACAGACAATGTTCGTTACAGAACTGACACAGACCCAGGGCACAGCTTATCATCTCCCTGGATGGGCAGATACCATCAAGATGATTAAAAGGATTTCACGAAGTAGAGGGAACTTATTTCCTCAGGTACAGAAGACGGGTGCATTCACTTAAAATTAGCTGTACAGGAGTGATGTCAGGAAGCTTTTCTTCACACAAAGATCTGTTGGGATCAGGGTCAATGAAAAGTTACAATACTGGTGGACTTTTGTTAATCTTATCATTTATGTTCTGTATTTTTGACTAAAGATTAAAATGAAAAAAGGATGGTTTTAAAACCAAGGAATGCGGAAGGAATCGCTGCACTTTGTTTCCCACTTTTATCCCCTCTCCCCATAAATCCATTTTTTCTTTGCCTGTTTCTGTGTGCATGTAAAGGTTTTAAAAGGAACTTTAACTAGAGTATTAACCAGTCAAACCACATGTTGACAGTTTATAACTGTTAACTTGTGATTAAAATTTACCTATTTTAATAAATAGCTTATAGAAGGTGGCAAGGTTGAGAGATATGTTTAGTTAGCCATGTGGAGCAGCACCTCTCAAATATAGCCTCTGGCGAAAGGTATTTTCTCAGGAAAAACTGGTATTGAAATAAATGTAAGCAAGTGTTTTGTATTTGTCACATGTCAATGGATGGGGAAAAGCCTCTATGTTTATATCTATGATGATATGGTTCCACATGACGATGCGTGACCCAAAGATAAATTCTGAAGTTATTGGCTTCCCATGACACTGCTGATCCTGCCTTCTCATTAGATCAATGGGCAAGGAGGGCCCACGGACTCAGATTTGGAAAGATTTTGTTTGATTGATGCTCCTCCCATTCAGTATCTACTGATACACACTATCTACCAAACAAACTGCGTCAAGCATAACAGTGTGGAGCTGGAGTAACACAGCAGGCCAGGCAGCATCAGAGAAGCAGGGAAGCTGACGTTTTGGGTTGGGACCTTTCTTCAGAAATCAGATTTCCCGACCCAAAGCATCAGCATTCCTGCTCCTCTGATGCTGCCTGGCTTGCTGTGTTCCTCCAGCTCCACACTGAGTTATCTCTGACTCCAGCATCGGCAGTTCTTACTATCCCCAAACTGCATCAAGCATATCCTACACAATCACATCAAAGCAAAATACTGCCGATGCTGGAAATCTGAAAAAAAGGGAAACTGAACAGAAAGTAAACAGAACTAATTAGATATTTGAAGAAAAGTCATAATCAGACTCAAAAGTGTTAACTCCATTTCTCTGTACAGATGCTGCCGGAACTACTGGGTGTCTCCAGCACATTTGGTTTTTATTTAACGATATCCCTGTTCTGCAACTATTGCCAATGAAAAGCACGAGAACAGCAAAGTCACAGAAAGACGACATCCAAGACATTACCCCGCCTTCTCTTCAACCTCCATTTCCATTCCCTTGATCATCTCCCCGATTAAGGGATGCAAGGTCAGGAGAATCCCTCTGAGTGTGGTGTAAACTAAATGAGTAGCAAATTAGGTATATAGGAGAATTCAGTGCATGGGGGAAGCAGGTGATTAAAGTAATGTTCATTGCAACTAGTAAGATATTTTGAGTATTAGCCAGATTTGTCATAACTAGTGGCAGGTATCATTAGTTGTAAGGGTTATTAAGTTAAGGCCAAAATAAAATAAAGTCAAGTAAACCAAAGAAAAATAAATGAAGTAAACTGAGGCATGGCAAGACCCTGCAAACAATAAACTTCTACATTGCAATAGGCATTACAGAAGTACTTTATTGGTTGAAAATGTTTTGGGGGTGCTTGAGAAGTCAAGTCCTTATTTCTCTCTTACATAGCACTGAGTCCATCTCTGAATTTCTAGTTGCTGCCCTGGCTAAGATTAATCATTTGGTTCTAAACAAGAATTGAATTTGGGTTTTTCAGACTTGGGGGCTTAAAAATAAAGCTACACAATTATCTGGAGGAAACAGGTGATGCACCTCTTTCTTGCTATTTGCATGCCATGCAGTTGTGTGGGGAGGTGGAAGCAAATTCTAAAATCATGAGAAGGGTAAGTGCTAGTAAAACTGTAATCAGGAAAAACAAACAACAAGTGAACTTAGCAGTACCTTCCTTGCACTTGCAACACCAGATTGCATCCATAGGAATCAAGGTGACAGGGGGTGTTTGCCGCTTCAGTACCGATCCATAGCGTGCTGTCCCGAGCATCCCTCCCTGGGTACCCAAAGTCAGACCAAATTACGTCCTACTAAAGAAATGTTCATGTTAGCATACTGTTAATGATTTTTCAAACCTTTGTTCTCCCTCCGTCTCCTTCTGTGACACCTCTTAATTGATGTTATTCTATATTTGACCTCCATAAGGAAGAACAGATATTAAACTGAATTCTCTTCTGGGTGGATAACAAAAATGGACAGTTCTATTTCATAACAGCAAAGGGGAATTTTCCTGGTATCCTTTCCAATATTTATCCCTCAATCAACATTTCTAAATAAGACTAAGATTTAAAGTTTTGGCAAAGATCTGTAGCTCGGGTTGTGAGTGAGGTTGTTGACTTGCTCGCCGAGCTGGTTTGTTTTTGTTTTTATTCATGGGAAAAAAACAAGCCAGCTCGGCAAGCAAGTCAACAACCTCAAGACTAAGATTATCTGATCACAGTCACATTGGTCTTTGTGTGGAGCTTGCTGCGTGCAAATTGCCTAGAATGTTTCTTATTTGATAACAGAACTTCATTGGTACTACAATGGTTTGTGATGTTCTGAGAGTAAGAAAGAAGCTATAAAAAAGCAATGCTTTCTCTTTAGGAGTCAACCAAAAACAATCGAAACAGAAAAAACACATTCACTTTCCTTCCTGTTCATTGGCTTGGTTATTACTTCACAATGGCACAATTCATGCTAACCTGATTTACAGCAGACTCTTGCAGCTGGATGGAGAAAAGATAAGTTTATTCCAGCAATCTGGCCTGGATTTGCATCCTGTTACAAGCGAAAACACAGTGAACTAATCGGTGCACCACCCAGTCCTCCAAGACACAAACAACATTTGATGGGACATTTTATCACCTGCTTTGTTTGCATTCCACTGTTCATTTCTTCCTTTTTCTAAAGGAAAATGGATCTTCAATCCTGCACGTTTCACTGCATCTCATTATCTAAATTCATTTTGTCACCTACATCATGTTTAAATTAAAAACTAGAATCTTCTGCCTGTTAACAAGCCAGTCTTGAGGGAAATTACCCAAACCAATTTGTTAAGTGTAATAATGTTGATGTCATCTAGGACTGATCGCAACCTGAATGCTGCCAGCTGCATGAGATCATGTATTGGTTACTTCTTGTTAATAATCTTACCTCATGCTAAATGTTGCATGTTTTCAAGTATTTTAAATCTTTTTCTTAACCCATTCCTTGCATCAAACATGTGGAATGTTTCTTCCCAACTCCAGACTTCTCCACAATAGAAAAATAGAAACATTCCATCTCTATTTTTTACACGATTAGTAAATTGAAGTGTCAAATTTCTGCTAAGTAGGTCAGTCAATAAGAGGAAACTAATTTACAATAATTCATAAAGAAACCAGAGAAGAAACAAGATAATTTTGTTTTAAAGCATGAATAATGGTGAATTTGGATGAATTCCTAAAATAATGATGGAAGCAGGTGCAATATTGGGCAGCATCGTGGCTGAGTGGATAGCACTGCTGCCTCACAGCACTAGGGACCCGGGTTTGATTCCACCCACAGGCAACTGTGCGTGGAGTTTGTGGGTTAGGGTGTCTGTGTGGGTTTGCTCCGGTATACCAGTCTCCTCCCACAGTCCAAAGATGTGCATATTAGGTGGATTGGCCATGCTAAATTACCCAGAGTATGCAGGGATGTGCAGGCTAGGTGGATTAGCCATGGGAAATGCAGGATTACAGGGACAGGGTGGGGTGCCTGCTCTTCGGACGCTCGGTGTGGACTTGATGAGCCGAATGATCTGCTTCCACACTGTAGGGATTCAATAATTCTGTGACTATCAAATGAATGGGAATTTAGATATTCACGTAAAGTAGAAAAGGGGTAGCAGGAAAGAACAGAAAAAAGTGGGATCCATTGGATAGCTCTTGAAAAAGCACAGCAAAATGTGCTGTCCAGGCTTTTCCTGCACTGCATTGTTCTCCATCAACAATTCATCAGCAGGAAGAGCAGGAAATGACCAATTGATCCACCAATACAAGGTGCTGGAAATGCTCAGCAGGTCTAACAGCATCTGTGGAGAGAGGGAGACAGGACAATGTTAGCATTTTGCCATGTGAAGGAAGATCATTAACCTGAATGTTAATTCTGTTTCTCTTTCCAAAGGTGCTGCCAGACCAGATAACCATTGCAACATTTTGTCCCTTATTGCAGATTCTCAGCATCTGCAGTACTTTGCTTTAGTTGAAATGGCCAGAACACAATGGGTCAGCAATTCTTCCCTTCTCCCTCAACTTCATCTTACTCTGCATCCAGGCAGGCCATCACCACTTTCTCAAGGGCAACATGGGTGAAAAGTAAGTGCTGGCCTAGCCAGCGATGCCCACATCCCATGAGTGAATAGAAAGAAATTCTGAGAGAACCAAAAGAGGATAAAGACTTTTAAAAACCATTTTCATTCAAAGAATGTTCATAAAGGATGCTTTATGGACCTTCAATAGCATCTTCAATCAATGGGACATGCTCTAACTACACAACGGAATTGAAAAAGGTGATAAAATACTGCTTGAACATGCAAATTATCTTCATGGCCCTGCTACAGCATCATTTTCTCTGTCTTTCATCTGTAATCTAAATCTGACAAACATCAGTAGATAACTGATTGCAATCCTTCTTAAAAAAAATCTTCTTCCTCTCACTGTTTTGAGACACTTACTCAATGTAATGGGAGCAATAATCCAGCCGGAAAGCATTTCGACTGCAAAAATATGATCTGCAATATTAAAAAAACTGTTCTGTCCATGTTTCCCAATACAAGTTTATAGTTGGCAATAAATTAACTATTCTAACATTGAGCAGGATGAAATTATGTTAATTTATAAATTTTAACAATCAGTAATGAAAAGCTGATTTCTTGCTCATAAGTTCGCTTTTAATTTCTGTTGGCAATTCATTCGAAGTGACACACGGGACTAAATGTACCAGGAAGACATGCATCAAAGCAATCAGAGCTTAAAACTTTGGCAAAAGGATTTATCAAAATCTAGCACAATGTCTCTAATGAAATTCCCTGTAGCAGCTGGACATAAACCTTATTCAGGTTGCGACAGCTATAGAATAAAAATAACTAACTTCCAACTGTGTTTTGGGAATTATTGTCTCTGATACTGGACTGGCATTTTTTTTTTTAAAAAAAAGTATATTGTTTTGTGCGATGCTAGTGTCATTGCTAAGGCCAACTTTTGTTGCCAAACCCTTTCTGACTTCAAACTAATTGGCTGAAAAAGCCAGTGCAAAGAGCAGTTTTGAGTCGACTTAAAAAGTGCTTTAGTGGCAACATCACTGGGCTAGTAATCCAGAGACCCACAGGTGGCAGTAAGACAGAGAACAACAGTTCAAATCCAACCACAGCAGCTGGTGAAATTTAAATCAAACAACATGGTTGACTCCAAACTGCCCTCCGAAATAGCCTAGCAAGCCAATCAGTTCAAGAGCAATTCAGGATGAGAAACAAATTCCGACCTTGCCAGCAATTTCCACTAAAAGAGTAAGGGGAAAAAAAAAAAACCCACATTTCTCGGGATCTGGAGTCACAAAAGTCCAAACTAGGCAATGGTGACAGATTTCCTTCCATAAAGGACATTAGTTTTACAACAATCAATGATAACTACCTGATTAGACTAGCTTTCAATTCCAGAGTTTTATTAGTTGAACTGATTAAACTCCACCTGGCTGCTGTGATGGGCAGTCACAAATTCAATTCCCACAAAGGCAAATTGTGAATCTGAATTAATTTTTTTGGCTCACACTAGAGAACATCTTCATTTAAAAGCACAAGTTTACTGCATTCATTCAAAGAAGAAAACCTGACACCCCGATTCCAGACCAGAATAAGTACTCAAGTCTCATGGCTCTCCAGAGTAATGGAAAGGAAACTCGGGATGGGAAAGAAAAGAGTTCTACAATGGGAGACAAATCAGAGAATCATGCCAGTGCCAGCTCTTGATATTGTGTCTAACAGGCTGGAATTTTGACCAAAACAGCTGTGCAGGGCAGGGACCTAAAATGAAGCATAATATCAACATTGCTTCCCAGGAATAACTTGAAATGTATCAGATCCATCTCATGGCTTTGCACTATAAGGTCTCCCATGGAGGTGACTATGCCATTTTTTAAGTTAAGGGAGGTAATTGTTGGCTGCAGGGCTCTGTGCATATGCGCATGTGTGTAACTGCCACAATCACTAACATCATTGCTGATGCTCTGCTCACTGTATGATTGTAAATAGCAGGGAGAAAGACGTTATTGCAAGTCATCAAGGTCAGTGCTGCAATGCATCATCAGGTAGTGCCTTCTCAGGGAGCAGGAGAGTCAACGTTTCCGGTAGAAACCCACAACTACACCAGCACCATCCCTCACCTCTTTCTCCTCTATATTGATGACTGTATCAGTGCTGCCTCATGCTCCCGCAAGGAGCTTCAGCTGTTCATCAACTTCGCCAATACATTCCACCTTGCCCTCAAATTCACCTGGACCATTTCTAACACCTCTCTTCCCTTCCTGGACCTCTCCGTCTCCACCTCTAGAAAACAACTCACCACTGACATCCATTTCAAACCCACTGACTCCCACAGCTACCTCGACTACACCTCCTCTCACACATACTCCTGCAAAAGTGTTATCTCATACTCAATTCCTCCAACTCTGCTTCATCTGCTCCCGGTATAAAGCGCTCTACTCCCAGGGCATCCCAGATATCCTACTACTTTAGGGACCGTAGTTTCCCCTCCTCTGTAATTAAGAATGCCCTCAACCACATCTCCTCCATTTCCCGCACTTCTGCCTCAAACGCCCTCCCGCAAACAACAATAAGGATAGAGTCCCCTTATTTCTCACGCAGTACCATACCAACCTCCGAATCCAATACATCATCCTCCAACATTTCTGCCACCTATAATCAGGTCCCACCACCTAAAAGATATTTCCTTCCCCACTCTGTCTGTTTTCCGCGGGGACAGTTCATTCCGCGACTCCCTCGTCAGCTCTACACTCCCCACCAACTTCT